GTGTCTCCTGTCCTGTTTGGTTGGCCGGTGTCTTTGACACCGCCAGCCATCTCCCAATTCGAGTATCCATTGCTTCATTTCCGCGACAACATAACACCACCGATCGCGACTTCACAGTTGTACAAAATGGACCTCACCTTCACAACTTGTTACGCTCCTTGCTACAACTACCGACCCTGTCGGTTATCACCTCGTCACCACTACCGACCCTGTCGACTATCAAATCCTCACGTCGACTTTTGCTGCGCAGCCACCGTTTTTCTTTACCTCCATTTCCTTGAAATGGGCACTGAGCATTTCTCGGCTCCCACACATCCACTGGTACCTCCTAATCAAGTCCACATAGACTTTTAACGAAGCGGTCCCCGGGGAACTATGCCTTGAGCGATTTAGTCCTCGCTCTGTAGGCCACCTCTACATGAGATCACTGTAGTACCTTGGACAAAGACTACAGTAATATGAAATTCAAAAAAGGAAGGTATCTGGACAGAACACTAGAAGAAAGACGACATTTGAACGAAGCGCTTGAAGGAAGGAGCGCATCTAGATGGTGTTCCAGAAGAAACTGCACATCCGAAGTAAGGCAACGCTTCGGCACATTCCAGAAGAAAGACGACCTTGAAGAAGCACCAGAAGAAAGGCGCCGTCTGCAGAAGGCATCCGACGGAGAAGTGTCGCTTCGATATACAGTTGGAGAAGGAACCGGTTGTGATCAAAAAGAAGGTACTGCAGTTCTTGTTCGATCCATCTGGCGAGGCGATCGACTTTGAATTCAACATCTTAAAAGGGACTAACACGAAGTGGCCATCCTCATGACTCGTCACCGTAATTAGGTTCCCTACTGAAACCTAACCCAAATCATCCCTTCTTCCACAGTAGCGAGGGATGAACCACTCGCTGCTACCAGTAAGCGTGTGCGCCCAGCCGAGCGGCTGATATCACGTTACGCGAGACGTCGGATTAACAGAGTTTATCTTTAAAGCATCAATACAGGGTAAGGAGGTAGGATGACTCGCTGTTATCTTGAAGCTACATCATTAGGCAATAAACGCACATACGAGCAATGGGCAAGGAACTGTTATAAATAGTTTTTTACTACGACGACATGATACAAGTCAGCTCTACGTATGGAAAGCTTC